GGATATTGGGATTTTTCTGTTACGGTCTGTGATGGATATTGGGGTTTCTCTGTCGCGGTCTGTGATGGATATTGAGGTTTCTCTGTCACGGTCTGCGATGGGTCCACAGGTTCTCTGTCACGGTCTGTGATGGGTATTTGGTTTCTCTGTCACGGTCTTTGATGGGTATTAGGGTTTCTCTGTCACGGTCTGTGATGGGTTCGGAGGTTCTCTGTCACGGTCTGTGATGGGTTCGGAGGTTCTCAGTCACGGTCTGTGGGGGGAGGGGGGGGGGGTCCAAATTTCTACCCCTAAACACTTCAACACTCGTTTCAGGTCGTGTTTCACAAAATGACGAGAATTTCTTAATGACAACAACTATTTTCTACAAAGACTTACCAATTCTTTCAAGGTTGATATAATTCCTGACTCATAGTCAGACATAATATCTGATGGACAAAATTTATATCCACGTTTTTCAGCCAAAGCAATAATTTTTTTGAATAAAATTTTATATGTTATTCCTTTTTTGTCATTCAAAAGAATCCATGCAACTGGTAAAACTATCAACGAAAAAAAAACATTCAAAAACAAATCTTGAAAAAAATTAAATTTTGTTTTTAACAAGAATTCACCTTGATTAGATTCAATATCATGAGCTTGTGTAATATATGTTTGTTTAAATTGTCGAGGTGTTATAGCGAAACTTCCATCCATATATAGTGTTGAACTTTCACATAATACTTTAAATTGTTGTTCCGATGAGAACACATTAATATTCGTTTGGTTCGTTTTGCATATGAATAATCTAATAATATAAATGGTTTATCATCTGTTGTAGTAGAAAAGTCAGCTGGAATATGAGAATTGATATCAGTTGGTAGTTGAGGCATATTCCGATTATGCGCTCTCCAAAGTGTCATACCTAAAATGAGTAAATTATAAAATTTTTAATAATTTTTTCAATTACTTACAAATCCTCTAACTACTTTTAAAGTTTAATAAATTTCTCTCACATTCACGAATGTCTTCCACTAAAAGTTTAGAAATTCAACACTTACGAATACTATTGAAAGGTGGTAATTGTGCCATTTGACTTCTTCCTAGTTTCATAGTTGCAGCAAGTTGATTGTAGGTAGCAATTGAAGGTGGTACTGTGGAAGATTGTGTCATTTGTTTTAAATCTGATTTAAATTTTTGAATTATAAGTTTGTCTTGATCTGGTTGATGATTATGATCTCCAGTTACTTTTTTAAAATTATATTGTGGATGATCATCATTTCCCTGATTATAACTTGTGTATAAAAGAACTGGACATTTTACCGGGTTATTGCGAGTTTCACAACACCACCATTTAATTTGATCTTTTAATTCTTTTACCTTTTGATAGCTAAATCCAATCATGCACAGATTTATTCCACCACGTTCCGTTTTAAAAAATGACATAGGTCCTACAAATGGATGCATATTTGTTGATGGTTCAGATGATTTTGATTCAACAATGATTTCTGGATTTATAGTTGTAGTGGTATTAGACTTCGATGTTGCTGTAGTTATAGTGAAATTCTTTGATGAAAGAGACATTTCTTTAAACGATACATTCAATGTGTTATCACTGTCTTGTGATGATGAATGAGAGGAGGTGTAAGATGAGTCTGAAGAAGAAGTAGATGATACTGAATCATCGGAAGATGATGATGATGATGAACGACTAAAAGGAAAGAAAATACTATTACTTTACATGACTGAACATAAACGAAAAACAACACTAGTCGACACTGACGTAGAATTCAATTGAAAAACTTTCAGTTTCTTTTTTTTTGTACAAGCTGTAGCTGAACGTCTAAACATTGAAGAAGGATGTAGATGAAGATAGTTTTTTTGAATAAAAAAATCAAGGAGCTATAAAGGCAGATTGACTTACGTTTGAATACTTTTCAGAACAGGTTTTGGTGCTTGAGTAATCTTATTATCAGAGACATTTATCATCGATTTCACCATCAGTACTGCTAGTGGTGGTGACTTTGTTAATACCACACTTGATTTACAAAGGACAGAGAGAAAACATCTATTTATTAACTAATGGTCAATCTATTACTCCATTGTTTTTAACGATGTAATCCCGTGTTCAGCCATAGAAATATAGCGACACCTATAAATGTATACAGATGATTAACTCACAGGATAGCACTACCTATTTGGCCCATATAGGTATATAACAGTTGTTACAGATGAATCACTTCTACTGACTTCACAGATATTTCGAAGAAAGAGTATTCGCAACGAATACCCTGTTGTTTAAAGAATATGAGCCTTTTTATCCGGTTATGTATGCAATATAGGACTTAGTTACGAAAGTTCTGTGTATATTTGATACGAAAACCCTGTATATTTTTTATACTAAAGCCCTGTCAAAATTCGATACGAAAGCCCTGTATTTTTTTTTATACAAAAGCCCTGCAAACAAAATAACAACAGGGCTTTCGGGCTACGAAAACTCTGTGAATTTTTTCGTTACGAACTGATACACCCCCGCAAAATTCTCCATCGATCTGTATAATTATCAGTTCTTTAAACGAAAGTATCTAGATCACAAAAATCGACACAAGAAAAAGGCTTAAACTTTTGTCCCTCACTTTACAGAGTGGCCCGAAAGTGATTGGGCAGTCTGTAATCGTCAATAACTTTTGATAGGAACAAGATAGAGAGCTGTAGCTTTCACCGTTCGAAAGAGAATGTGACACTGCATAGTTTCATATGTTATTATTCAATGACGTCATTTGATGGTCAAATGATGAGTTACCATTGTCCATTTCAGAGTTAAATGGTCGTGGGCATTTTTTTGAATAACTTCATAATAAAACCAAATAAAAAGCTGATATTTTAACAGTACATTCATGCATGTTTTCTTTTCGTTTTTTCTTTTTGTTTTTCTTTATTTTCCCTTTTCCTTTCTAGAAAACACACCCTCGTCCTCTTTCTTTTCTTCTCGTATGTTCAAGTTATCCGAGTGCATTTTTTCTTTTCTCTTCTATACTAGTGTTTCTCTTGATGAACTCCTTTCATCTTTCTCTCTCCTTTGATCTGACTCATGATCTTCTGAAATGTTCTTCAGTATCCGAGCTCAGGTATATATATATATATCTGCCACTTCAGACGAGTAGTTCAATTTTGCGCATCTTAAGCCAATAATCACGTTGTGTTAAGCTTTAGCACTATTCATTTGTTGTTGATGAATAAAGAAAACTTTCGCTTTTATATGAAAGTACACACAGCAATGGAAGAAGTGGAAGATGAACCACGACCTGGCAGATCTGTCACCGAAACAATACCTGAAAATATTGAAGAGGTGCAAGACCAAATTGGTTTAAGCTATGGCACTATTTAGCGATTCATCACAGATCACTTAAACCTTAAGAAGATTACCGCTCGTTATATATTCAAGAATCTGACTGATTTCCAACGGGCCGAAAGAGTTTGAATATGCAAACAAAATTTAGTAAAATTTCAAGAAGGAACATGGCAAATTAGTCGAAAGCCATCGAATGAGACATGGGTGAGAAGAGAAGATCTTGCACCTACGGTGGTTCAACGCGATAAATTTGCTCCAAGAACCTTATTCTTCATCTTTTTCAAATCAGATGGTCTGTTTTCATTCATGGTATGGAACGGAGCCAAGTTATTGATCACTAGTATTACATTGACAATTGTTTACGATCTCTGATCGATGAAATCAGATGTCAGAGACCCTCATATGGCACCCGCGGTATCAAAATTCACCACGATAATGGAAGACCATATATTCATAATCTTGAATCAGAGGGACTCACAATAAGACCGCATCCACCTAATTCTCCAGATTTATCACCATGTGGCTTTTGGTTATTCGACTTAATTCAAGAAAATCTAACTGATCAAAGGGATTCAGAATCATTATATGATGCTGTGAGCGAGTTCATGCACTCTGTAAATAAAGAAGAACATAGAAAAATCTTCGCGAAATGGATTCAAAGAATGCAATTGTGTGTAGTTAATCAAGGTGATTACTTTGAACATTTGATAAAATAAACAATCGTTGAACTTTTTCCTGTATTTCTTTTCTGTTCCATCACCGTTATTTTTTGTGCACTGTAAACAAATGAAGAAAACACGCATGGATGAGAATATACACTATTACTACCAGATGACGTTCCATGGAAATAAGTTCTTATCGAAATATTATTATTATAAGGTCGATTGAATAGTGATCAAATAGCATAGAAAGATAGAGAAAAAGACGTTCTGTCTGTTGATAAGAAAAGAAAATTTTCCCAAGCAGTCTATACTAAAATACGGTATCAAGCTCACCACTTTTGGATTGTCCTAAGTAGTTTTTTATGCTGATTCCGTATATCATATGCGTTTCACTTGAAAATGAGTTGTTGATGGTCAAAATCTCGAAATACGAGCATATTTTTCAATATTTTGCCGCTGATGTCGAAAGAATTGATTTTATTAACACCGGAGAAATATTTTTTCAAATCTATACATATTTTTTCCTTATGTAGGTTGAGTATATTCCGTTAAACAATAATTTTTTTGTCTCAAGCAAAAAATACTTGATAGGTTTTCAAGATGCACAGAAAGCCTTCTCGCAGTTCTGTTTATGTTTTGAGAATATAGAGCTCATTTCAGCCAACAAAAATGGCTGAAAAAACTAATTACCAGAAATTAGTTTTAAAATTTCAAAACAGCTACAAACATGAAAATTTGTCCTATCATTCAAAGTTTCACTCATTTTTGCATGTTTCGAAAAAGTCATTATTTGAAAATTTTTCTAACGAAAATTGACTTCTAAAATAGTTTGATAGTATTTATCCTATGCAACTCGATGAGCTCTATCGAGCCATGTATAAATGATTGATTAAAAAAATAGTGACCACCCTTTGAATTGTGTGCGGCTCACTTGCTATGTTAATTGATCAAATAAATACGGTAACCATGTGTTCAAGATGAAGATTAACTTCATGAAAATAGATTGTATAATCATTATCAACGAGATGCAAGATTTGAGATTGGATGGGGTCTCTTGTGTCATGTAACTAACTTTCCGTCTAAATGACAATCAGATACACTTGAATATTTTATATATTTAGCTGATAAGAAGAAAAATAATTGAATTGACATATTGAGCACTGTAAAGCTGAAAGAACTCGTGAACAAAGACACAAGAGTACGCACAAGAACAAAAATCTATTATTTATTTGATATTAAATTTTCTTTCACTTATGTGGATGATTTAAATAGGATGTTAATTGTTCTATGAGGATGAAATAATCGGTTTAATATCGGATGCACGAATCTTAGCATCGCGTAATAGTTTCGCAAATGCTGACTCTGGATTTGCAGCTAAACGAGCTGGTTCACCATACTCTTGCAAACGACCATTGGACAGAATAAGAATTCTATTTTAAGACGAAAATTAAAGAGAATTTGAACAATGTTTAACATACTTTGTGCTATCTAAAATCGTGTGGAGTCGATGAGCAATAGTCAATACAGTAGCATCTTTGAATGCTGATCGAATAGTAAGTTGAATGAACCGATCAGTTTCCATGTCGATAGCTGCAATACAAATTATCTATTTAATAAAACGAATAATCAGAGCTTAATTACCAGAAGTTGCTTCGTCGAGTACAAACATTTTACTCTTTCTCAATAGAGCTCGTGCCATACATAGCAATTGTCTCTCACCAGCACTAAAATACAAAGAAGTATACTTATAATTCAATGATAATCTGTAGTATTTACCTAATATTTTCTCCTCCCTCTGATAAAATAAACGACAGGCCGCCTGCCATTGTATCGATACGCGTCTTCATGCGGACCGTTTCCAATGCTGTCCAAATTTCTGCATCACTATAAATCTCTAATGGATCGATATTGAATCGTAGTGTGCCAGAAAAAATGACTGCATCCTACAGACGGAAAATTGATGTTTAGCCAAACAGGACATCTAGTGAAAAGACGCACCTGTGGAATGATAGTAATCTTCGATCGTAGATCGTGTAGACCGATCTGACGAATGTCGACATTGTCGATGATAATTTGCCCGTGAGTAGACTCAATAATACGAAAAAGTGCTAAACACAAACTAGTCTTGCCACTACCCGTACGGCCAATGATTCCAATCTAACATGTATAACGATATAGTAGATTTCAAGTGCTTATATACTACCTTCTCTCTGGGCTGAATATGGATGGTGAGATCTTTGAGAGCCGGTTCCAGATTTTCTCGATATCGCATTGACAGATCTTTGATTCTGGAACAGGGGGCAATATGTTTTTGATCTTTCTCTGTTGTTAGCACCAGAATGAAAGACGGGTATGTGTAAGTCAAATAGTTCGAAAATACAAGCAGCTAGAAGACTTTTGGTTTTAGCTATGTTATGAAAAACCATTTGGAACATCAATGTACACAAAAAAATCGACTGACGAATATAAGACAGCCATCGTTAGCTTCATGAAATAAGGGAATAGAACGGTTCTATCGGATTGTATATCAAAATGTTGAGCTCAATTTTATTAGCCGAATTCTAAATAATATCTACATCTCAGTTTTGTACTTCCCTCAAGTCGTTTTTACACTCCTCAGGTTCTTCAAGATTTGTTAGAATTTGTTTATCATTTTTTACACAAAAGGTACTACACTAGGTAGAATTGCTTGTGCTGATTACGTTTATAATATTTGTTTTTTACGGCTCAATAAAGACATTTCAAATATCTCATATATCTTCCGATTGCTTCAATGGACTCGAAAACCCAGTTTTTGCCATCAAAGTCTATTCAAAACTAAAATGAGTCCTTTGAAACTAATGCTTGGAAGACATTTTGCATGAAAAATGGCAAAAACATTTTCAAGATGCCTAAGGGATGCTAAGGACGAAAGACCATTTGATGGCAAGTACAAAACTGAGATGTAAATATTATTTAGAATCGGGCTAATAAAATTGAGCTCAAAATTATTGGAATACAATTCGACAAAATCGTCACATCTCCTTATTTCAAGAAGCTGACGATGCACTGCCTTAATAGTCATCCATCAATTTTCTTGTATAGGTTTACTTCCCGAAGGGTACTTCTGAAACGACTAAAACCAAAAGTCTTCTAATTACTCGTATCTTCGAGCTATTTGCTATACAAACACACACCCTTCTTCCATTCTGGCGTTGGCCATAATTCTGTTGTTAAGTAATATATTCCAAAAGAGAATCTTAAACAACATACTGAATTTCTCCATCGGTAGGCCAATGCGGCGATGGTTTCTTTTCTGAAACTTCCCATGGTGCTTCCGATTTTAATTCTGCATATTCATTGATACGTTCAATACTGATAATATTTGTTTCTATGTCACTTGCCGTACGAACTAACAAACTGAGCAATAGTGGAATTTGCATAGCATAAGTAATTGCCAAACCGATAGTACCAGCAGTTAAATAATCACGCATAAGTACGACAAAAATAGTGGTGATCAATATAAGAATATTGGCAATCATTTCGAGACGAACAGCAAGCCATCTAATAAATTATGGCAAAGTCTACTTAAGATCATACTACGAAGAAATTAGATCGAGTTCTGAGAGACTGAACGTCAGAATTTAGTCAGTGAGTGGTGTGTTCTGGTGCTCTCCGTGGTGCACCCTACTTTTGTATTCTAAAGCCTTCGGTGTTTCGCAATGATGCTATTTTGCGGATTGTTTCAAATTTTACTCTCAAAAAACGAGAACTATACTCAAATAAACAATATTTTAAAATATTCTTATATCAGCTTGAAGATCGGCAAGAGCGATTTTCAGAATCTGTTGCTGGGCTCGGAGCCAGCCGAAAATAATTTTGATTTCGTACAAATGGCCATTTTTCTCACAGCTGTTTACTTCCTCTCTATGAGACTCGAACCGAATCCACAGAACATTGTATCAGATATTGATTTATTTATTCTGAATTTTACCTATTGGCAACACGATTGGCCAAATAGAATGATTGATTTCTATCCAGTAAATGGTCCGATACATCGATGAAACGTTGTTGAGCATTGTAGGCTCGAATCGACGTAAGACCTCGAATTGTTTCGCCAAAATTTGAATAGATTGGACTACGTGTAGTCGACTCGAGACGACGAAGTTGGCGTGACGATGCTATGTAGACATGCTACGAAGAGAACAAAAAGAGTATTGTAGGCGGTCATCGATAAATGTATCATAAAATTCGAATACCTGTATGAAAATAAAAAGAATAACGAGTGGTACAAGTGCAATAATGATAAACCATGAACTATAAACGAGGATAATTCCGGTAACAAGCATCGAGATGAGCATATTGGCTGATGATGATATAGCTTTAGGTAATGCTGAATCGACCAAATCGATGTCTTTGGCAAAACGATTAATAATGCGACCGATGGGTGTCGTATCGAAAAAGGATATGGGTGCATGGAGTACTCCAAGCAAAATTGCCAAATGTAATTTTCGACTTGCTGCATAGGCGGCAAGCTGAAGTATCAACTGCATGAGAAATAAGAACAATCCTAAAAGACAGCACCAAAAGATTTTCTTCTAATCACAGCAATAAAAGTGTGCAGGTTAACGATAATCTATCATCAAAATTAAAAGTACATCCCAAGAAGTAACAACAAAGTAGAGTTTAGTATTAAGCGCTGAATAAAATGTAAACATCATATTGATGAGAAATGACACGACTCATCGGTGTTTATTCGAAAAAGAAAAGAGATATAGTTGTAGCAGATTGTGATCTAGAACCTTCCTTTTAAAAATTCATCGAAATCTGCATAAATCAGATGAGCAAATTTTTGGCAAGTCTTCAAAAAGAAAGTTGACTTTCAGACGAGAGTTTTCTTTTGAAATTTTGTAAGACACAAAAAATTCAAAACTTTAGCTATATTCGCGAACTCTGAACTCTCACAATCATTTATCTGTCATTTTGAAAATTTCAATGTTCATGTCGTCGATTTGTTTTGATAAGAAAGAAATGGAATAGGAAGCTAACTCAGGCACCAGTTTCTATTAGATTCTATAAATCGAAGAACTTTTTTGAAAGAACTCCACTGTGTGTACGACTTCATCTATACTATAAATTATCAAACTATCTTTGTGTTGAAAACGTTACCTTGAGTGATACCTAGTGCCGAATAGATGCTCAAGCCATAACTTCGACTAATCGACGATGAGGTGTTATTTTCGGCTTTCCATTTGTCCGTCCATTGTGAAAGCCAAATATCTGTACTCAAAGAGGCACATGCCGCCAGACAGAAGAGAATGATGATCAATGCAACCATTGATATTTTACATGCACGAATGTAGGTAGTAAACACACTGAATTTTATCTATTGACAATTTAAAATAATAAAGAGAAGAAGATCAGACAGAAAACTGACCGAGCCCGTTTCTATAGCTTCCTTCTCAATGAGTTTTTTCTTTTCTGCTTCCATCACTTTGACTGGAGTAACTTCGACAACAGTTGGTGAAGATTGATCATGTTGAATATCGTCTTCGGCTACTTGGATTGGATCATTGATTAGATCCGCTGAAATGACAAGCACACTTGAACTTTCTCAAATAATTAATGAACAAAAGAATTTGAGAAATTCAGAAATTCAGAAAAAAACGAAGAAAAATGGCGTATCTAGTCCGACGGTTGTCTCTCAATAGCTTCATCTAGCATACATTTGCATCGAGATCATGGGAACGGTCTAACAATGACTGTATCCCACTCGATATCTATGCACATTTCTCTTTTATTTGACTTGGAAACAAATTGACATTATGAAACAACATCCGGTGCTAACGAGATACAGGTGGTAAAATATAGATTAAATCTTAACATGGCCTCATCGAATTCTCGCCGGCCATAACCGCGTTTTCTAAATAATGTGATCGGCTGCGATTGAACCAGGGCAACTGAAGACATCTTGACTTCGGAGTGAATTAGACTTTCAAAGTACGCCATATAGCTCTTCGAAGGGCAACCAACCTGGGCATCGTGAAAAATCCAAGTGAGGCTAATTAGCCCGAGTCAGTCCCGATGATTCACTATAAAAACGACGGTTTTGATAGGTTTGATCAAATCGCGGGAGTTAGACTGCTTATTAGGTTTTTCTAACCATACCAAAGAGGATAAGAACAAAAGTGAAATTTCCCCCATTCTCCGAATAGAAATGTACGATGACTGGCATTTTTCGAAGAAGAAAGCAAATCGCCACAGTACGTGGATTGCCTCGATTTCGTTCAAAGTCATTTCTTATGATATTTTTGTTCTCGGGTTGAATCTACTGGTTCTATTTAGTTGTTATCAAGTGACTGCGTATTTTTGAAAAATTTAAGAAGTGTTCTGATAATTAATTGTGCACACTCGAACTAAAATTACATTTTTTAATGCAGAGCAAAACAGTGATATTTTGAATTTTGTTCTGTCTGCTCGACTTTCTTAACATACGAATCTGAATTCTATACTTCTTGTCGTGAAGTTCTCTCAAAAATTTAATATTATAGTTCACAACGAAATAAAAAATCTACGCCTATATTTTTGACTTCGTGACCTTATTCTGAGGACAATATTCTGTTTGCTTATTTTGAACGAAAACTTTTTATCGCTTTTTGGATTTTACCGACAGCATTTGTTCGTCGTTGCATTTGTTCTTCTTTAGGAGTTACCATTGTATGAACAAGTTCATGGAAAATCTTGCTCTTGCTCATTAACACATTATACGATCCATGATCGACAATATTACCATGTGAAACAACAACAATTTCATCGCATTGATGCAAATGCGACACACCATGTGTTACGAAGAGACGCGTCTATTTGAATTGAAGACTAATAAATGGTTCAGGATAAATGGTGATCTCAGTATTTCGTTATTATCTCACTCAATTCTCATTACAAACTAATACTATATATGAGTCATTCCATATAAGCCACGATCGATTTACCAGAGACCTGCTCAATCGATGTCGTCAGATCTTGCTCAATTTAACATATGTTATAGAGGGAAGTATTCTAAGAATTTTGACGCAAGCCGTTTCGAAAAATATTGATCCCTCAATTTTTTATGAGCATTTTATTAAAAGCCTTAAAAATGACTCATATCAAAAATGGCGGTCCTAATGCAATGATATCTCACGAACAGCTCAACAGATTGAGCTGAAATCTTTCGTAGACATACATCTCAGTGAGTTCTATTTGCTATACAATTTTTATTGAGAAATATTGAGCCATTGGGATTTTATGAAGCACACAATATACAGAAAAATGCTAATTTTTGTGAAATTTGGTGCTTCATAACTTTTGATTGAAATGATATAGAAGTCTGAAATTTTCAGCATAGATAGAACACTAAAAGATATATGATCCCTAAAAATTTCAGCTATCTATGTTGTTCCATTAGGTCAGACGAGTCCTCTCAAAAATGAGGCTTTTCAGGATTCGTTTTCGCTCAAAACATGGATTACTTGGAGAGTTGATCTTTATAAGAGCCAGTTCACGTAAGCCACGACCGAATCATAGAGAAGTTGCTCAATCGAGATCATCAGATCGAGCTCATTTCTTGATATGTTCTAGAGGCTAGACCTCTAAGAATTTCTGTGAGAAATTTTTGAAAAAAAATACTAAGTCGTTCATTTTTCATAGCTGTTTTTCCGAAAGGCCCTAAACTTTGCCATGTGCATCAAAGGGGCCCAAAACTGTTCATATCTCAATAATGGCTCTACGGATTGAGCCCAACGTTTGTGTGCGGACACAAGTCAATGAGTCCTTCTTGCGATTAAATTTTTGTCCTGAAATATGGGACTTTTCCATTTTTATAAGTGATCGAAAATACGGAAAAAGGAGCTTTTTTGTTAAGTTTGGCTCTTCATAACTTTTGACAGGGATGGGGTAGAGATCTCAAATGTTTGCTGTAGATAAAACACTGAAAGATCTATATGTATTAAAACTTTCAGCCAATTTGGTGGGCCCATTCGGGCAGAGTGGGTCTTCCAAAAAATGGAGTTTTGACAATAATGTCGATTTTTAGAGTCGATTATCTGCCAAGATATGGGTCGCCTTGAGGACTGGACCTTCTCATTTCAAAGTACTCTCGATGGGCTGCAACCACATATAAAAATCTGCGTAGGATCTTCAGAATTGGCTGGCTACGAGGACCATCTTTCGAACCAAATGTTAAAGTTTTCTGTATGAGGTATTTTATATAAACCAAGCCTGATACATAGAGAAAATGTTCAAACAAGGTCTTCAGAATTTGCTAAATCTAAAATACTTTCCTAGAGGGAAAATGTTTATGAAAGTTGGCGCACGCCGTTTTGCAAAATATTGAACCATTGATTTTCTATAGCTGTTTTACGTAAAGCACTATAAATCCAGCTACAATAGTGATTTCGTGAACGTCGTGATTTCATGGAAGCGCCCTAAGCGATAGAAACTATCTACAAAGCTGAATTTTTTATCAGATTACTTATTCAATGAAGTGAATCCATAATCAAGACTTCAACTGTCTAGCATGATCCGTTAATGAAATTTGTATACCTGGCCGGGCTCAAATATTGATTCTGGTCTCCTAAAGATGACCTTTGCTTCAATTCGTTTATGGGTGGTCCGGACTGATTTTGCTATGAAGTTGTACAACTCAGGTGACTCTTCCAACTTCTTAATTTCGGCCCTCAAACATCCTGGTATTTTAGGAGAAAAGCTTGTCAGTGCAGCTTCAAAGAAGCTGAAATGTGGAACTCACGTATATCCTTTAGACTTGTTATCCTAATATGTCATCTGTAAACTGAAAGATTTCTGTTGATTAAAATAATTCTTATAACTCATCGCTGACATAAACAATATTTTATGATTTATTCGTACATCTAAAACTGCGACTAGCTTTTTCGTTTGAGCGCGCCCAATTTTTTTTTATTAGTTTTGCTATATACTCGATAATAATCATTTTTTTTTTGTTTTATTTTTCTTTGAAATTTTTTCATCATCAACTATTTCATACATACGAGTCTTACAATAATGCACTTAATATGCATTAGCCGTTCTTACACTACTTTTATACATCTCAATTAATTTATCTATAATGATATTGTTTCCTTCCGACACTAATGAAAAGATCGAATGATGTTTCTTGCATTGATTATATCATCGGTACGACAGATTAATACCTATTATCACTATTCACCGTTGATTTTTAGCATACAAGTTTATATTCATAAAAAAGCCAACGATTATATTATTAAGAATTTTGTTAAGTGCATATTAGTTTTTTCAAATAATTATGAAAACATTATAATATTGTACAGTAGTCAAATTCATATTCTTCATACTGTTCAAGCCTTTTTCTAGTGTTAAGTAAAGCTTAAGTTTTTTGTGTGCAGTTGCTGAGGTCTGTAATGGTGACCTGTCTGTAATGGTGGGGTGTCTGTAATTGGGAGCTGTCTGTAATGGGAAATATGTCTGTAATGTTCTCTTTCCCGTTGCTACGTATCTGTAATGGAGTGGGGGATGGGGGGGGGGGGGGG